GGTAGCACAGGTGAAGAGGAGGCGTGATCGATCGATCGCTGTCTGCTTGCTCGGATGTGTTTTCTTCGCTGCTATTGTTCGTTTGCGCCATATGTCGGTTCTCTATCTTGCACGGCATAGCGATATTTTCCACTAAAAAGGGGAGGATGGCTTGGCCTTCTTTCTTCGATTTGCACGATTGGAGTTTCGGTTCTACAATTATCTCTTTTTATCATGTACGGTACGGGGTTTGTCGGGTTGGTTTGATTCTGCACACACACTGTTGGTAATTTACAAAGGGGGATGTCTACTGGATACCCGGACAATAGATCAAGATCAAGATCAACGCTGCCTTGTCGGCATCACTTTGTTGCTCAATGACTAGACTAGCACCATTGCCATAAATCGTAGCGCAAATTGCCTTATAAATATCGGCTAAAGATATCATGAAAAGAAATGTCCCCATCCCAAGTTCCGCTAAACGCCATTACTCATAAACGAGTGTTCAATCAAATCGACCGTGCAGCTGCTTACAGCTGCTTAATGATCTTCTCAACGCTCTCCAGGAGGATATCAGCTGCAATATGTTAGCATCTTTTTCTCTCATCCCGTATCTAAAGCAGACTTACCATGGTGCTTCTGGAAGACCAGCATGGGCCTCAGGCGGACGGCGCTCTGGCCGCTGCCACCAATGTTGACACCAACACCCTTGGCCTTGACCAGGAACTCGTCCCGCTTGGGCGTGTCCCAGGCAATGAAGGTTCCCTGGCCCTTACCACGCAGGTTCTGCAGGTGCTCGGGGTACTGCTTGGCGAGACGCTCCAGGCCGGAGAAGAGGTAGTCACCGGTGGCAGCCGTGTTCTCCACCAGGTTCAGGCGCTCAATCTCCTCAATGATACCACGGAAGATCAGGGCACGAGCCGGGTCACCCATCCAGGTGTTGAACTGACGGTAAGGCTTGTTGGGACGCAGGGCCGGGTTGCCGTAGTAGTAACCGGCGGTCTGGGCCTTCTTGGAGAAGGTCACCATGTCGGGGGGAGTCTCCAGGTTCCAGTGGTCGTGGGCCCAGAACTTGCCGGTGGCACCCACACCAGTCTGCACCTCATCAACAATGAAGAGGACGTTGTTGCGCTTGGTGATCTCACGCAGGCCACGGAAGAAGGCAGGGGAGGCGTGGTTGTCACCACCCTCCGACTGGATAGGCTCGACGACAACAGCGGCGACGGGGTTGTGCCACTCCTTGATGAGGCGCTCAGTCTCCTGCAGGCAGCGCTGCTCCTCCTGAGCGTTCTCCTGAGCGTGCTCCTCCAAGGGGTACTTCAGGGAGGGGAAGGGAGCCTGGGGCCAGTCAAAGGCGGGGATGTCCAGCTTGTGGATGGGCTTGCTGCGGGTTGTAGACAGACTGCCGAACAGACGACCGTGGAAGGCCGACCTGAAGGACATGATGGACAGCTGAGGAGAACCAGGGGACTGGTTCTTCATGGTAGTCTCCAGCTCCTCCTCGGTGAACTCGGTCTCAGCACTACCACGCTCGCGCTGACGGTAGTACATAAAGGCAGCCTTGTAGGCAGTCTCGTTGGCATCCGAGCCGGCCAGGGCGGTAAACACCTGGTTAAGGCCCTTGGGGGCAGCCTTGAGGATACCAGTGTTCAGGATGTCAGCCCAGTCGTGAGAGGGGAAGTTACCCAGAGCCGGTCTGTTGATCAAAGCATTGACCATCTCGGGGGACTCTGCCACCTTGCGGAGGTGGGGGTTGTTGTAGCCGACGGGGATAGAGGCAATCTGGGCATAGCTGAGGACGATAGATGTTAGAACCATACAATCACACTGCCTCAAGGATCATCATAAGTTGGTAGTAGTAGCTTACACATCGAGAAGCACGTTTCCATCGAGATCAGCAATGCTGTGTCAAAGTTAGCGCTCGTTCGGCGATTTGCCCGCAAGGGGTGAGATAAATGCAGGTTAACTTACTAGTTACCGTTGGACTTGTAGTAATCAGTGAGCATGTTCAAGCTGCGCACATCGAAGACCTTGTCGAGCTTCTCAGCAGCAGCCTTGTTGTTGGGGCCAGGAATGGCCGTGGCCAGCTTGGGAGCAGAAGGCTCATCGGGGAAATAAGGCTTCTCCGCAGCGCGCATGTGCGGAGTAGTGGTGAGAGTGCGGACGGCCGACAGGCGCGTCGTCGGGCGGAGCCTCAAGCTGGAGCGGAAGACGGCAGCCATTGTGATGAATTAATTGAGAGGAGATGGGTTTGCAAAGGAGGAATGAGTTGAGTGGCCAGGGGCACTGAAATACCCAGCTGGAAAACAGGGATGTGGGGAAGGATACGATGACGATAACGCAATGATGATTGATAAGGAGCTCCTCGATCGATGCTCAACCAGACAAGCAGCACACCAGCACCGATTAAAACTTTAAACTGGTGCAATTGAGATGACTTAGAGGGAGAAGATAAATCACGAGAAAAATGGCAGCGTGAAGGGTTAAATATGGAGCGAGGGGGGCAGCTATTGAAGGGAGAGCTCGCGATGGATTGGAAGCTGCCCCGCGCCGTACAGCTGCTTCGGCGTTTTGCACCAATCAGCAGCCGTGCTACCCCCGTGCTCGGCGACTTCTCAACCCATCCGGAGAGCCGCCGTTCAACATGATAATTCCTAATGATAATAGTAATTCCATAATCCAATCATTCAGATGGAGATGCTCTTTATTGAGTCAATCTGCTTGCCTCTTCCGCCGACTGCCGATGACGGTGAGTGGCAATGAGTATAGGAAGTGACTGCCTAATGGGGTGAGATCATATCGGATCCCTGCATCGCTTATCAGTGGCAGGGGTGGCCGATAAGCCCTCCATCTCTCGCTGCGAACTCCGATGCATCGCCATTCCAGTGATGCCAGTTCAGCTAAGGAGAAGCCGGATTTGTTTAGGTAAAATATATAATACACAAATCGCTCACTTCCTTTGTAGCTGAAAGTAATATAGCTACATTGTTTTTGCAATAGCTAAGTTCAATTCAATTGAGGCAGTGCTACTCGAGATATATTTTACTGCTGCTAAGGTTGTTTGTAGACCTTGCCGGTTGACATCCAGATCGATGATCATGATCCATTAAGGTTCAGTTGAATGACATCGTGAGAGTACTAGCAGTACATGTACATGTACTATAGGAGCCATGGAAATAATATGAAATTCATCCAATCTATTGTCTAACATCTGGCGACAAACGAAGTCCATACAGCATGCGATAGTCCAAGTCAAACATAACTAAAAACATAGATCTCCAAGTTAATTAGACGAGAAGTAGATCACTGATCATTAAACCTTCCAGAACTCATACAACGGTAATCACATGTCAGAGACAGTACTAGCGTTTCCCCTAATTCAAATCGATTAGGACCAGAACATACAGCCATCCGCCCATAAACTACCAGATAAAATACTGCACAAAGTACTCAAGTGTCAATTGCAGCAACCCAATACACAAAAGATATATACTCAATGTCACCTATAAAAGACATCGGAATCAAAATTAACAAGCCGAAGCAAGCGAACAACATAAGCGACAAAGCCAGATGAATCACCATAATTAACCCTCCCACTAACATAGCACCAACCAACACTAACAAGGCTAAGAAAAGAAAAGCAAAGAGCCAAAACCGGCACAAAAATAAACACACACAATCACAATTTCTAATACCAACTTCTAACCCTGAATACAACCTAACCTACCTACAGTAGTAAGCCCATCATCTCATCCACTCAACCCCAACCCCGACACCAACACCAAGACTGAAAAAGCGGGGTATAGTACACAATAATATACCCAAGAAGCCCCCAAAGTAAAAATTCCAAATCTCAAATACTACGATCTACTAGATACATATCTTATGCACACACGGCCCCCCCCCCGTCCAGCTTTAATCTCCGATGCAAGATTAGCTGGGAGGTGACTATCCAATCATATTCATGATAGTAGTAGTCTAGACCATTTGTCATTGTCTAGTGTACTGTGTACACCATACTCCGATTATTCAAACAGGACGGGAGTCTAGATTACTCCCCTGCTGTGGACAACAGTACAAAGTAGTAAATGAAAGTGAGTGAGTATACAAAGTGAAAAAGATGTGCCCCTCTTCCACCATGATAACTACACTTTTGAAGCATTCTTTTTCTTCCCACGGAACATCATGACACATGCCTAAAATCTAGAAGAGAATAAATAACTACACCATCCCACAATCCCACTATCGCTATACAACCCCCAAAGTTACCACAAAAAAAGAAATAATCATCTTCCACCAAACCACGCAGCAAAATAAACCACACCAACTTAGACTACCCCTCACCCAACACCCCCCAAACCATTGTCAGATCTTAATTACACCCATCCGTACCTGCGTTAGGTGCAGCAAGACGGGCCGTAGTTTATTAATATAGTCTAATTTACAGCACGTCAATCTACGGAGTGGCCGATGTCAAAGATAAACTGGCACTTATCAGATAAATAAATCAACGATCAACGCACTGTATCCCTCCGACGGAGCGGACACGGTCTCATTTCGGTAGGCCTGACCTGTGCTGCACGGGGGATCCCTGCAGAATTGGAATAATACTGTCTGTTAAGTATGATCTATGGATGGAATCGGAGGAGGCAGGAGAAGCGGGACTGGATGGGGGTACTGGTACTACTGTATAGGATCGGATCAGGCCATACTGGCATCGGAGTTAGGCGCATGCGAGGCATGGATGAGTGGAGTCATGACCTAAAAGTAATTGCAGTGGAGCCGGAGACCCACTCCGTTTACGGAAGGAATTGGTTGACACTTAATATCGGATGGGCTGAGATACTCATGATTTACTCGTGAGACGGTCGCGTGGTGGTGGGATGGTGTGTGGTATATTCATGTTTCGTGATGTGTGTTTGGTATACTATAGGTACATGACTCCAGCCTCAAAAGAGTATACATAGATAGTAAGTTATACATGTTCATAACTCAATTCATAACCAGATGACTCCCCCTTGTTGCATTAAGGGGAATGGAAGAATAGAAAAGGAAAATATAGAGAGCGTTACACCCTAGACCGGGTTCCTGTTTTCGTAAAATGTGTGTTGCTCCTTGGAGTCACGGGTGAGTGAGGTGGAGGAGACGTCGCTTCCAGGCGACGTATATACCACACCATTATTCTTTAAATCGACGTGGTGCGTCGGGGTTGCAACGCGCGTGTGATTCGACATGACCTGAGAGTTGTTGCTATGGCTGGGTCGCCGATTCTCGGTCCATGTCTCCATCTCAACAGTGCGCAAGACCTCCATACGATCCACCGTGGTATCGCCTTGGTAACCATACTGGCGATCTTCAATCATTTTGGAAGCGCGGGACTGCTTGGATGGTCCAGTGGAAGACCATCCCTTCAACTCCCGGTTGCCGAATGAGGATCCGTAGCCACGGGCAGACGGGAGAAGGTGGGGCAAGACAAATCCGATAAGAGGTCTCAAGGCAGGTGCAGAAGCACAGATCTAATACAGAGTTAGCCGTGATACGCGCGCATTTTGAGAGGGTAACCATACCAGTGCCAAGTTGATTTCTACCGATCCAGCGACCAGAATAGGCCATCCCATCCAGGTAGTGTCATAGGAGGCCATCATACTCTTCCAGACATATACGGTGCGCACCGTACCTGCCACGTTGACAAAGATACCCAGACCAAAGATCGAAATCACGGCCATTCGCTGCCGGGCAGGCAGCTTCAGGTTCCAGATCAATGGCATCGGGACCAGAGTGCAGAGAAAATCGGTGAAGATGTTGACAACGCTCGCAGAGAATACTGCTGCGCCGTAATTGACGCAATGATGAGGATACATTGGCTCCAAGTCCCAAAAAGCATGGATTGGCCTGTTTTATGACAAGGTGAGTCAATGCAATGCCGTGAGTTGAGGAACAAGGTACTCACGAGCACTGAAAGATGCTGACCAGCAAAAAGACAATGCAGCACAAGGCCACAAAGATGAAGGAGACGATCACAACAATGTTGTAGATTCGGTACAGTCCCTTGCTCCCCGTTCCGATGAGGCGCTTGCAGAACCACAGAACCGAAAGCTTGGTGATTGAACAGGAGAGGGAAAATGTAATCTGAAATCCGAGGTTGTATTTGGTAACGACAGGTAGCCAGGACAAGGGCACATCCCATACATGTCGGTTCGCACCCCAGCGCTCAGTCGCCAGAGACGTACACGCGCACATGCCCACTGCAATAGCCTAGATATTGTTAGATAGACCGGTAACCCATCATATATGCAATTTGGACGTACAAAAGCGATGACGATGAAAAAGTCATCGAGACCAGGTGTGCACGTTATCTTGAAACGTGCGTAAAGGCGAAGAACAGTCACGATGAATGCGATGGAAAGAAGGACGATATTCACGATATTCACGGCCGGCCCGCGGGTCACTGGGTCGACGTAGTTAGGTGTGGGCCATGTGGCCAGAACCTCGGCCGGGGGGAGTTGCATGTTGGCGATTTAGCCTGGTAGGAGCGAGGGTAATAGGGTGTAAGATGTGGATATTCGTGGCACTGTTGTATGTTGCCGTATTGTGGTCGCAAAAGTCGAAATGTGGTCAACCATCAGCAACCCCCAGTCGAGCAGTCGAGAGTGGCATTGGCCATCGTCACAATCAAGATCAGTGTGGTGTGTTGTCAAAAGCGAAGGTAGTCAGCCGTGGCCGACTGATGATACACGAGGGCCAGTGATGTTGACAGCACGAGTGAGGAGGGGAACTAGAGAGATGATATACCACGATGGCGAGTATCCACCCCTGGCCTAGACAAGTTGCGACATAAATGGTCCCTTCGCTAACCATGGACTAGGGAGTTTATTTCTGTGTGTCATTTTGAGTTTAATGGATTTGTTCAATTTCAGATCCAATATCCCGGCCAAGCGGGAAGTCAACTCCTCCAATGAGACTGGAAGCGGACCTCCACCGCAGGCCATTTTATCCAACCGATGGCAAGCAGGAGTCGCAGAACCGAGAATTACCGGGGGTACCAAGCCAGCACAGGGCAATGATAGGCAGATCCATCGACCCGTCGTTCACGGTCTTCTCCACATGCCAGGGGGGCGATCTCAGCATTTTGAGCCATTCGAATGGGCTTGTTGGCGGAAATGTCAACTGGGATTAGGGATCTAAATTGGACCCGGACCAGAAAGTCAAACCAGTTAGCTCGTCTGAAATTTGCGGGCAGGGGGGGCTCCTGGTACAGCAGTCACTCCATCGGGGCAAAGGATATGCAAAGTTAGGTTCTGACTTTAGAGAAGAAAGTTGAGGTGGTATCCCGGGAATGGGGGGAAGAAGACTCCAGCCGAGGCCACTGAGAAGCCCATGGAGAGAAATCTGGTCCTTCAGACAGCGGACGTGAGAGAAAATCAATTGGAGCAAAGGATGTGAGATCCACAATCTAATTACAGGGATGGTAAGGTTAGCGTCGAGCTTCGAAGGGGAGGCCCATTAAGCTGGGCTGATGAGCACGAGCGGAGAGAGTAAGAAAGAGTGAAAAAGAGTCAGTCAGGCTGAATGAGGAAAGACCACGACCAGCAGCGGTGACCCCACCGGAATCCCACTTACTTGCGGCACACCAGTCCCTTCTGGTGCTTAGTTCAAACGAACTAAAGAAAACAATGCTACTGTACTCCGTACTTAGGGGACTCCATTCTGTCGTGGATTTGACTCCCAGCAAAGAACTGGCGCGAGAGCCTTTCCGTTTTCGGATGAGCGCCAGATTGCCCCGCACGCATTTTCCCTCCCAAAATATTCACAGAAAGTCTTCCCCTCACATTTGGTCCGGGTGGATGAACCATCCATCATTGGAAATACCCTCAGCAAGCATTGAACTGCCGTGGTGGCTTGTTGTGCACCCTGAATTTTCTTTGGTGGTACCAGCCCTACGGAAACTCTTTACTATGGCAATATTAACCCGATCACGATATACTTACTGTATGCACCCCTTGCATGTGCATCACCACCATCGCCATGTTGGAGATGTCCTGCATGACATGGGGAAGGGCTGCACTGTGCATGGCCCACGAGTCATAGGCGGGCCCAATTGGGTAATGATGCGAGACACGGTGGGAATTCGATAAGAGAAAAATAAAAATTTTCAAATTCACACCCAGAAAATTCTGTGAAATTCTTAAGATAGATCATACTGTTCAACCTCCAAGACTCCAAACCACTATTGTCTCCCATGTCCCCATATCGGTGTCTGCTCTGTGCGTGCAAGTGGGCAGCAACAGCCCGAGTTGGTATCTGCACGGTCCTGGCTACTCCTGAATCGACCATTGTGCGATGATCATCCAAGTTTCTTGGTGATTGATGTCATCATTCTGAAGTCTTCATCGATCCATCCTATATTGGCCAATACTGCTCGGATTGCCGCTGCGCTCCTCGGAGAACAATTGATCGGAACTCTAACCGGTGATCCAATTCGGGCAAACAACGAAATGCCGATTTGCCTCGTCCATTTTCAATTGCTGATAGCGAAGACTCTATTTTCCTCTATCTCTTTTTACCCCTTGCCCAAACCAGTGAGACTAACTTTTCTTGAATTCTCTAATTAAGTAATCGATCAGAGAAGGATTGACTGCGACCAATAGTCCGTGATAATCTCCCAGCTGAAGGTACTCGCCAAGGTAGCTTTTCCTGGGTGATCTTCCCGTAACGGGACCGGAATTCCAAAAAGCTCAACACCAGGGCGAGCTGGTGGTGATGATCCTTACCAGCCATGGGTAGTCCTCAAGAGCCCCCGTTCGTGATGGAGATGGAGTCAATACTTTTGTCATCACGTTCCAGAGCGGACCTAGTCTTCCGGAAAATGATAGGATCGACGAGATTCCTTGGGCACGAATCTAGGCAACACTGGGTGTTCCTGTCCATGGTTCAACCTCGATATCTCGGGAATAACTCGCAGGAAGCAACTAACTTCAATATCTATGAACATCTTTGATATTTCCCCCCTCTGTCCCAGAATTTTCTTTTAGACTCTTGTCTAATCCGCCGATATGCTTCTATGCATTCCCTTTGCCCACGTTCTGTCGGTCGCCGTTTGGGCGGCAGTTACGGTGGTTCCCAGCCCCATAAATAGGACTAGCCGCAAACTTTAACGCGAATGGTGCCGGCTGTCCAGCGTTGATCGCCGCCGGGCTCGAATTGTCTGGTTAAACCTGAAGATCCTTGCGGCCGCCTGAATGTAGTGCATCGTGGCTCGCTTTGACCATACATTCCGGGGAACAGAACTGATAGCTGCATTTACGTCTGTCAATGGCTGCTGCCTCATGACTTCTGAATTGAAGGATGGGGTCCGCGCATATATCCCCAGGTTCGAAAATGAGTCTTATGGGCTTACTTCGCCAGCGACTCAGCTAGTAACATGATTCAGTTACTCAAATGGCCCACTATTCATGAAGCACCCTGTTGTTTCAGCTGCAAACCTACACAGTAGACTCACTCCTAAACAAATCACAGAGTCTGTAAATAATCCTAAACCCCTTCGAAACCTAGCACCTTGCCATGAATGAGATGAGACGGGATGAAACAACAGAACTGTTGACTTGGCTGCTTCGGACAAGCTTTTCCAACATGATGGATGCAGAGAACGGAGATCAAGATAATGTCACAGATCCATCCGGCCGTCTTCCGCGACCGACCAGACATCCGGCAATCTGCATTCTGCAATATGCTTCCCAGTAAACTGCTCGGATTTCTGAGTTCCTCCTTCCATCCGAGAGCAATACCCCTCGATCCTGATGTTCTTCTCTATACAAACTTCAACAAAACTCTCTCAGACACCAAATATCAGCCTTTACAGTCCACGCTCGCCACATTGAACCTACTCTTAACACTGACAGCCTTGTCAGTAGATCCCGATATTCCGAACGAGGGGTAGATTATGTACTCTTGCCTATTCCGGTTCTTGAAGGAGCGGTTCTCAAAATTGGGTCGGATCCTCAACGGTATCCCGTTTTCGGACCCGAACCTTATCGGGACAATGGGGGACATATAGCCTGTGCCCTGCCAAGATGTCAAGACCCTGTTTATTTCACCAAGGAGCGCCGTCGTATATAGTGTCTGATACTACTAACACTTACTTCTTCTAGATAATGTATGCTTGCTTATTCGAACTTTGCCTATGGCCACGTGTGGCCGGTTTGATATCGATCGACGCAGACTATTCACCGTGCCAATTCGTGGCAGGCTGATGTGCGGATCTGGTGTGACGTGGCTTGCTGAGTGGTGAGGTAAATGCAGAGCTATTGATCGTGGTGCCGTGGTTTTTATTCTGGTCATATGATCGTCATCTAGCTCCTTGGTTATACACTTATCTCCCTTTAGCCTGCTATCATGGTCACTGCAATCTCTGCGATGACCCTTGCACATAGAGTGCTCCCAGCAGCAAGCAAGAAATCATGATTCATGGATCAACAAGCACTGACTCCCAAGTAGATAGCTTTCCCCAAACTCACCTACTGCCTCATAATCATATCCTCATCTCCCTCACCCCCACCAGATCTCCCAAACAAACCCCTCTAACTTCCTTGGTTCCTATCCCCAACCATCTCCCCTCCACAAACGGATAATGTAGCCACCCACGAAACAATCCCTAATCCTACGATCTTCGCCAGCAGTTACAACTCACCCACACAGACCAGCACAAAGCTCCATATAGGCTGAAACACACCAATAAAGCATGTGATATTACAGAACTGCCGAGTTGGAGCTGGAGCTTGAGCTTGAGCTCGAGCTGTCGATCCCAAGCTAGGAGAAGTTTTCCTGAGTCCTGAGCTTGAGATTTGGGCTGGAATTCATGTGGAGTTAGATCGACATATCAGCTCAGCTTCGTCTCAGCTGGGAAAGTCACTGTCGGAGATGTCTGTGGACATGTAGCTTAGCTTCGGTAACGAGGTGTCTCTTTGGGTATTAGGTGGGACGTTATAGCTCTTGTTATGACGGATGTTTGCCGAGGGAGTGTAAATGGGTTTTTCTTACTATGTTTGGGCTGTTTTGTTTGGAATGTTGTCTGCCTGGAGACTAAGGACTGGATGGTTTTTGATTGTGAGATTGTGGCTTACCATTTCATTTGAGGGCTAGCTGTTATTACTTTGGTATTGCCTAAGTATCCTGGGCAATGTTTACTTCTCTAATGATTCTCTTGTTCGTAGTCATGCACAAAATTTTTCGTTTATTCTTTTTCTCTCCTCAAAATGTTTTCTATTCGCTGCAGTAGCTAAGCTTTTCATTACTCTAATACATCATCCCCAATTGCACCTCGGACAGGTACGCCAGTGAACACCACGGTATATAACATGCCATATCAGACGCAGTGATATTAGCAACAGTTGTCACAAACAATCAGAGTATGATGAACGAAGTTCTGACAAATTTGCGCGACTTAACCTACATATAATCTCTACCGGGTTGATTCATAGATACACAACAGTGGTCGATAATCGTGAATTTTTCTATCCAAATCGTTGTTTCTTTCAAGCAGTGGACCTGAAAGGGTGCTTGATTATATAATTAGTTATTCCCTTTCCTCTGATATCTGAAGTTGATAGATATAGCCCCTACATACTCGTCCTAGACAGGACTAGATGCTTTTTAAAACCTCTGCTGAAAGTGAATTAGTTGAGATACCTGGTCAGCCAGCCAGCCGTCTTTGCAGCTTTCGCTCAGACGTTGCTGTGTTTGAATAGCAAAGTCATATAGACCAGATTGCATAGTAAGCTAGTAGATATATCTGTCCGGTTGGAGAATTATATAACATCCATTGATTAAAGTACTAGGGATACTCAGCTATGATTTGTAAGGGGGGAGGAGAGGGAGAATTATGCAGAAAAAGAAGTAAAACCAATCTCTGTTATTCTTCATAATATAACAAACCGGTGGCGTACGGATGCATATATATCTAACATTATGGTAGCTAAGGTGCTAAATAGCTTATCAAACTACGAACCTACTGAACACATTCATTGTAGATTTAATGCCTTTGATTCTAGCCGGTACTGAAGGTGTCTTTAGTAGTGCTTTTTTTTACCTTTGTTTCTGGTAACAGAGTATAGTTGATATCAATATCGCAGCCAGTCACCCTGTGCCGGATGATATTGAAGAATAGAACTTCTCTACTAGTAGTATATATATCCTTGCCAGAAGATAGATATATTCTAGTAGGGATTATAGAGAACAGTATATTTCTTACTCATACTAATACGTCGTACTGTCTCTATACTATGTGTGTGAAAGGATCTTTATTGGGAATATCCACCCTCCCATATTATGAACTGATGCACCTCTGAAAAGGATAATAAGTCTCTGGTGCATAGGCTGGAGATAGCATTATGATTTTCATTGACGGTTTGTGAGATGATGCACCGCCTGTATCTCAATAACAGAGAAATAAGCATATAGGGCAGCTGATCCAGCTTAAAGTCAGGGTAGGTAGTTATTATGCAGTCTGGCATGGTTGGCGATAAATGGAATAGAGATAAAAGGAATTACACACATACATAACTACGTAGGATATGCTAAGCTAGCTTGGTGGGGATGACCTTCTGTGGATCCGGATATACGGAATTACCGATTTACGAGATCTCATAGGCTCACTCACCAGTCAATTGCCACGGTGGGCGATCAGCAACAACACTTGCTCTATTTTAACTCAAAATAAATATATCGATGTGACCGGGGTACCTTGGCATCCATATTGGCCGGATATATCTAACGTTAGTTAAGTAGATGGCAAAATATGGTGACTAATCCGGCTGTTAAGACAGATGCAATCCCGAACACAGCATGACTTCCCTCACTCACAATGAAGTTGACCTCGGCTTAAAGATATGCATATTGCGTGTAGGGATTGAACGGTGAGGAACGACAGTCAATTAAATTGTCCAATTGGCGACACAAAACTCTTCTCCTGCTCAGTTCAACAGCCTCACTCATCATGATTCGACCTCTATTCTCCCCCGCGCAGCGTAGCATAGCTAAGAAACGACTACTATGTTCGCCTGCAAGAGCACGATATCTTTTCAGCACTTTCGCAAATGTCATTGATGGCAAAACCCGAGACTCTTCGCGAGTCCACCAGGGCATCAATCCATCTAACTGCCGGAAGCTTTGGGATGTTCCAATCGCATCAAGGGATGATCTCCAAGATGCTATCACCTCTGCGCAGAAGGCGTTTACCTCCTGGTCAGCCGTATCAGGGTCCGATCGTCAAGCTGCCATCGCTCAATTAAGACATTCTCTTCTGTCGAGTAAAGAGGATATGGCCGAGTTGCTTATGAAAGAAGCAGGAAAACCAGTAAGATGATCTCCTCAGACAGTAGATCGGTACTCACACCCTATATTAGAGAATGCAAGCGGCCCTCGAAGTTGACCACGCATGTGGCTTTCTGGATTACTTTGGTACATTACACAATTATGCTTACACAGACCACTGGTTAACCCGTCTTTCATAGCAAATGTCAAACTTCCATCCGAAGAGGTCATCCATGAAGACGCCTCCCTCAAGCTAACCTTGAATTACCTCCCCCTGGAAGTTATCGGAGCTATTGTCCCCTGGAACTTCCCATTAGTTCTTGCGATGGCCAAAGTTGCCGCAGCCCTCGCCGCAGGAAATACCGTGATTGTCAAACCATCTCCCTACACCCCCTACAGTATCCTCAAGGTAGCCGAATTAGCCATCCCGATTCTACCCCGGGGTGTATTCCAAGCCATTAACGGCGATGACACGACCGGGCCAGAAATGACCTTGCATCCCGACATCAATAAAATCAGTTTCACGGGTTCAACCAGAGCAGGCAAGCACATCCTGGCTGCAACAAGCAACACATTGAAAGAATGCACCCTTGAACTGGGCGGTAACGACCCGGCTATCATCTTCCCAGATGTAGACATTCAAGCCGTAGCCCAGCAAGTCGCCTTGGGTGCTTTCTTCAACAGTGGACAGTTCTGCCTTGGCAGCAAGCGTCTCTATGTTCATGAGGCAATCTACAATGAATTCCGAGATGCCTTGGTCAATGTCGTGAAGACATGGAAAGTCGGACCCGTCGACGAGGATGTCATGCTAGGACCCGTTCAAAATGAAATGCAATTCAATGTCGTCAGCAACATATTCAAAGACTGCAAAGCAAACGGATACAAATTTGCTCTAGAAGGCGGCCCTAGCACCGGCCCAGGGTATATCTTCCATCCTACCATCGTGGACCGCCCACCTGATGGATCGAGAATCGTCACGGAGGAACCTTTCGGTACGTGAGCCTAAACCTTCCAAAATAATGCTCAATATTAATCCACTTGAATCACACAGGCCCCATTGTGCCTCTCCTGTCATGGAGTAACGAATCCGAGCTCATCTCCAGAGTCAACGACACCAAGACTGGACTTGGATGCTCGATCTGGGCCAAGGATGTGGAAGCAAGCAAGAGGCTTGCGCCAAAGATTCAATCTGGGAGTGTTTGGTTGAATAGCTTTGCGAAACCTCATCCTCAGGGTTACTTGGCCGGTCGCAAGGAAAGTGGAATTGGAGGTGAGTGGGGACTGAAGGGGTTGAAGTCGTATTGCGCGACTCAGACAATGCATTACTACAAGTGATTAGATCCGCACGACCCAATTGTTATAAGTAGACTGCGGATCCGCCGTTGGATTATATTCACCAAGCCATATATGTAATAATTTGAATATTCAACGAAGGAAGTGACCTCGGACATTGAATATCTGGTCTAAGTTTATATAAATACTCGTACATGATCTAGTCCTCATACAATTTGACCAGGCGACTACAACTACTTTTGAGCCAAACAAACGAAAATACACAACAGTGGGAAAGAAACCACGATGGAGCCCTCAACCCGAATACAGAATCCATGAAAAAACTCCTCAACACGCCACACTACTACACAAGTTGTACAAGAACAGCCCCATTAACGGCTCTATGGTTTTCCACCGGGTAGACTAGATAGAGAGATGTCTGTCACGACGGAAGAACCGAAGAAATTCGATTTCCCGACTAACTAATGCTTCCCCCACCTCCTCCCGCTCGGTACCAAAAATAGATCACGGTTTTTAGATGTAGATGTAGAATTCTTAACCCGATGTATTGTACTACTATATTGGAAAGGAAGATGTAAGTGGTGCTACTATCTATAGATTTTACTGTTGGAGTCCGGACTGGTTGTGGAGTAGATATAGCTGGTCCGGTTGTGAGAGAATCTTGATAGGGTGGTGGCGAGGGTGTGGATGTATTTTTTTTTCTCTTTTTCTATTTCGATTTTAAGTTATACTACGTGGTATTGCATTGGAAGAAGAATAAGATAGATATGAGATGCTTTTGTTTCGGGGCAATTCGTTGTTGACAATTTGTAAAAGGTTGCTGGACTGTGATTCGAGGCACAGGTCATCATGAAGCTTTGGTCTTCACGCTTAGTCTTGATCAATTGACTGAGCGGGCAGATGAAGAAACATTGAAGAAGTTAGCTGCAGGAATAGTCACTGTCCGGGTGTGAGACGGCACTCTACACCTCCGCTTATCAATCATTACGATCATGGTTAGGTTCGGCTGATTTGGGTTACGCTCCTGCAAGATGGTAACGAAACTCGAATACGAGCAGTCAAGACATGCTAATGTCGGTGTCATTTGTCTAGGCTCGGTGAAAGTTGGCTTGGCAAGTAGCCTCGGCTGTGGCATAACAACTTGTGCATGCCGTAGAACCCCTTTTGATCGGACCCTGAAGCGTTCGTGGTTAATGTTCGGAGAAATACACCCCCTGAAATAGCACATGAATAACACCTGATGAGTCAGTAGCGTGTATTTGATAAATTGACTGATTATCAGAGAATTCTTTGATCTTCGATCTGTGAGGCGATGCGGTGTCTCCGCGCGGGAGGCGACAGGGGTATCGGGTTAATTGCACGGAATACGCTGTTCCTGCAGCGAGGCATACACTGGAGTAAGAATCGGATCGCGATCCTGCCGCAGACGGTGCTGCCTTGATATTTCCCGAGGGGAGTGGAAGTCTGATCAGATAGACCATCGGACCTTCGAGTGTGAGAGAAAATGACCTATCTCCAGAGACAGACCATGGCGGACTCAAAGACCTTTCATATTCTCCTGAAAGTCCAGGGTGGAAATTTGATTCTTTGACTGGGTTCGCTTTTGTTTCAGCAGCGAAGCCCAGACGGAGAGAAAATCGACTCGTGCGGTGCCACGAAGGCCTGGCCGCGAGAAGAAGACGAATGAGACCAGCGGATTGACTGGGGCGGAAGCAGCCGTCTGACGTTTTGGCCCGCGTGGCGCGGCCAAACTGCCTGAAACAGGGGGTCTGGACCGCATCCATTATTGGCCAGATGCTCCCAATGGGCGGATCGCCAAGCGTTCCTGGCGGTTGACCCTCGCTATTGGCTCTACCCGGGGTCGCTGTATCGTGTACATCCTGATTCTGCAGCGGGGACACCCTAAAAGAAGAAAAAATAGCAGCAGTCATACGCAGCACCAGTGGCTGTACAGGTACCAGTACACGCAGCATACCATACTGACATACACTTTAGAGTGTAGGAACAGTGTATGTCAGTTACACAATGGCAGCAGCGCTCTGAACTTTGTTTTATGGAGCTGCCCCATGTCCAATGCGTGGCAGTCGTTGGTCTGGGATAAATAAATTTATGTTGGCACTAGATATTAGTTAGTAGATATCCCCATCAGTGAACTCCTGACGCACCGTCCTCTCCCATCGATCTTCACTTCTCGGGAATTTTCAATCGCTGCTTACTACCTTCGTTTATCACCTGTGTCTCCATTCCCAGGTTGATCTTTCACGTTCGTTCCCGAAGGCAGGCCCTTCTTTGTTCTTTACCCTAAACCACCATCATTTCTCTCCTTTCGAATTCCAAGCCACCGATTAATTTTCAGATCAGAATGGGCGACGAAGCGAGCCACGATAACCACCTGGCACCCTCCGCGGACCATGATGTGCCCACTATTGTCCCGGCAAATGAACCCAAAGAGCCACGAGGACGCTTGACACCTCGTCCTTCTTTTCTGGAGAACCTCGCCAGTTCCACAGACAGACAGTTCATGTTGGGAAGACGCAACTCTAGCGAAATCGATCGATATTTCGTATGTTAATATCAGGGTATATTGGGAGGGACCACTTAGACTAACAACAGACGTATAGCACGGACCGCGAGATCTCGATCGACACTCCAAATGGCCCATCTTCCTACGAATGCATGGCAGTATCATGCCGAAAATGATTTTACCTCTTGCCTTTGTTGCAGCTTGGGCCACCCTCATTACCCTCATTTCCAGATTTGTCCATAACAGTAGGTTTCTCTTTCGCAGAATGTGACTGAACGCTGACCAATCTTCACTAGTCGGCATCAACGATATTCTTTTGACAGTTACCGGTTTCGTGGTCAGTTTGGCGCTCTCGTTCCGCAGTTCGACGGCATATGAGAGGTAAGTCTGACTCTTGACCTGCACATAGACAGCTGCTAATCTCCATAGATGGGCGGATGGAAGAAAGTACTGGGCGCTCCTCAATCAGACTGCTCGCAACCTTGCACGTACTATTTGGGTCAACACGGCAGAACGCGCAGGAGAGGAGGGCAAGGAAGACTTGCTGGCAAAACTGTAAGACTTTCACGCTTGCGATTATTCCCATTTTTCTAATAAACACAGGACTGCCATGAATCTCATTCTGGCGTTCGCCGTTTCCCTCAAACATAAACTGCGATTCGAACCCGATGTTGGCTACGAGGATCTAGCAGGCCTGGTTGCACACCTCGACACATTTGCCAAAGAGGCCCACGACCGCCAAGTCGTTCAACCCCCCAAAAAGACGCCCTGGAAATCAGTCGGTGAATACCTGGGCGTTTCCTTTGCCGAGTCCAACCCGAGAAAGCTTGTCAAGCGGTCCAAGAAGCCCTTGGGCCACCTTCCTCTGGAGATCTTGAACCATCTCTCCGCATATGTCGACCGGTGCATCGCCAACAATACTCTCAACGTCAGTCTCCACCAAGGACAAGCCAGTACGTACCCATCCCGATGTCTTTTGAAAGATATCGCTAACTTCCCAGTCACCGCTTTATCTACCCTGAATGAAGTCCTCACCGGCACGGAGCGCGTCCTGGACACTCCACTTCCCGCCGCATACAGCATTTCCATCGCCCAAATTGCCTGGATCTACGTTCTCGTGTTGCCTTTCCAGCTCTACGACTTTCTCGAATGGGTGACCATCCCCGCTTCCGTCGGTGAGTATCCCATACACTCCACGGAATACTCTAATCTAACAATATCACAGTTGCTGCCTACATCATCCTCGGACTTGCCTTCATCGGCAGTGAAATCGAAAACCCCTTCGGTCACGATGTCAACGACCTTCCTCTCGACACCTACTGCCGCCAGCTCGCCGTCGAGCTTGACATCATCACCGCCATGCCCCCGCCCAAGCTGGACGAGTTCGGCACGCGCGAGGACAACTTCGTCCTGTACCCTCTCAGCACATCCGGATACCCCGAGTGGAAGGACCGCTCGGTCGAAGAGATTCGCGCCGCTCTGAGGGCCAAGGTAGTGGCCAACTACCCGTCCGCAGCGATGTCGGACGCCGCGACAGTGATAGGGAGTGTGCGAAGCAAGCAGTCCGTTTGAGATAGCAGAGATGATGGGTTAAAAGTTTAAAAGCAAGGATGGGAGGGTAGATCGTTTTGATTGATGTTTTGGATGGTGTTCAATAAGCATGAGAGTCTGGTGTTCTGTTTATTATAAAAAAGAGGATGATGTTATGTATGGTTGGTTGGTCGGTTGGGTCGGTCATTCGTTACTACTACTATTACTACTATACCAGGGTTGGTCATTCGATGTGAATATTATTTGGGAATCGAATCTTTTTGATATATCATACTACTTGCTTAACTGGGTATATTATGCATAGCCTGCTATATCCGTACATCGCTTCTCCATGGGCTGAGAATGATGTAGAATGCCACAGACAACAACAATCTTCATATCCAACGAGACCCTTGCTATCACAAGCAGAACCTCTACACACCCCGTCCCAATCGCTACAACCGTAGGTCCTCCCACCATGCCACTCGTACCGCACTATCCCACAATATAACCCCCCGATAATCCCATCTTAGCCATAACAGACCCCACCCATCACCTCAAATATCATCCATCCTCACCCACACCCAGATCAGATCGATCAAGGAATGAACACCTCCCCCCCATTCCCATTAACCAACGCCCCGAGATGATTCCCCTTCGCACAGACCCTCCACGCCACGCTGCCGCCCCCTCCTCCTCCCACATCACCACCACCAGCACCTGATGTATTTGTAGCCGTACTCGCACTCCCTCCAATCCACGAACTCAACGCAGCCACAACCGCCGCCGCATCGTCGCGCGGCACGCGTGTCCATACTGTGCTTCCCAACCCCGCTCCTTTCCCTCCCGTAGATGTCGATGATGATGCCCACGATGGCCGGGGCGGCGATATCTTGAGTATATCAATGGGAATAGATGTACCCGTTAATCCGAGGAATTGGGAGAGCGCGGCGGAGAGGTAGGTTCGGGCTGTGAGGGGGTCGAGGGGTGTGGATGTGGTGGGGGGATTGTTTATCCTGGACGAAATTAGTCAAATCGTTAGGTATAAGCGAAGAAGGAATGGCACGTACAATTGGAGTTTGAGATATGTCCATGTTGGTGTGCGCGAGGTGAAGTGGATGGTTTTGGGGGTGGAGGATGATGATGTTGTTGTGGTGGAGGATTTGCGTTTTGAGGGTGTGGTTGTTGTTGTTGACATTGTGTGTTTCTAGGTGGTAGTGTTGTTGTAGAGAGAGCCGTGGATATGTAGGTAGAGGTTGAGAAGTAGTTAGGTAGGTAGGGATGAATTGCTTTGAATTAAACTGGGGATATGCGATGCGATGCGGGCGGAGAAAGTTGAGAAAAAGAAAAATCCCCCGTGATGTGATGTCACGGCCGGCGGTGTCGCGTTTGCGGGAGCAATCACCACTAAAGATTGAAGATGAATACCACTAAATATTTATTATAGGCTCAGCCAGTCAAATAATATATATGTATATAAACAATTATCTCTGCATAACAGCCCCCTCTAATATCCCCCGCGCCCTCTGTAAATACTCATCTTCGCTGTGCTTCCCAATATCCAGCTCCGAAATAGCAAGGGTCTTTTCTCGGGACCTTAATCCACGGATCACTTCTACGTTGGATTTGGGGACTTGGAAGATCTGTTCTCATTATCATTAGATGTTTTATATAGATTGAAACGTGGGTTTTGGTTATCATTGGATGAGGAGGGAGAGTGTGCTCACCTGCGCCATAACACGCGACACGGCTGCATTCGCCTCGCCTTTCCTGGGTACTGCTGCGACGCATACATCTACCCTGTCTGCTGTGATAGAGGTTATGCCTTCGCGGTTGTTTGAGGCGTTTGGCTTTACGTGACAGGATATTTGGAGGGTGTAGAGATGGTTGTTGGGTCGGGATTTGGTGGTTGCAGTTTGGAGTAGGCGGAGGAGGGGGGTGGACATTGTTGTTTTATTGTAAGATGTGTGAGGGTGTGGTGGGGTGTATGTTGGAAGATGGGTTTAATGAAGTGGTGGTGGATGTTTGGAGTAGATGTAAGTAGTTGTCTGGTGGATGATGGATTGCGGGTCAGAGGGAAGTACTAGTAGTATCTATATCTGGGGCCGATTATTGGCTGTGGGATGCGGGATGTATATGGCGGAGATTAGGATCATTTGGTGCCCTACTAACTATCTACACTACTCATGGCATTATTTTGCCATTTGCAATGGGGGCTATATTGTTTGTAGGCATTTGGGTTACTACTCCATACTATGGTAGAATTGGAACTACTACTGTAGGCTCCCTTATACTGTTTGCTCTCTATCCTAAGAACTCCGGCTGAGTGATCAGCTACTTCTACTGCTACAATGCAATAACCTCATATCAAGCTGATACACACCCAGTGTTACTCGATCTAACTACCATCAAACCAATTGTTCAATCCTGAGCATACCAAACCACATCTCACAGCCAACTGCTTCACCAACTGCCCACTCCCAGCCTCTTGTGAGGGCATTAACAGCGAACACCCCAGCCTGCAGTACAGAAAAAAGACAATTCCGTATTGAGTCACAATACCTAACCCAGCCGCTGCATTCAATCACCATTGAGCCACAGAAGCAACAATAGAGACCCACCCAAGAACAAAGGTCAAGGTATTGATACCTTTGTTACTACGGGCCCCAGTTTTCAAGGTGGACCCTGTCACAGAGGTAGATCCAGCCTCCGGGATTCTGATTGGCCAAGTCAGATCTATAAGGCTCAGTGACTGCTATATTGGCGGCTGGTGCACTGGGGCACGCAGTCGGATCTGTCATGAGTAGTTCGCAGTCAGGTGTGATTTTAGGGATATTGGCTTAACGATGCTAAATGATGGCTTCGGTAGATGATATGCTTTGCGGCATTGCGTATGCAAAGATAATCCGAATATAGGCATGATTAGGTTCGTTGGATAGAGCTCTGTCTGCTCAATTGCTCATCTTCAGGAGAGACTAAAACGACTGTCAGGGCCGCAGAAACGGCCGTCAAAAGGCACCATATAGAAAACTTCGAAGAGCTCGACAGAGCATCCCGAGTGAATTCCTCTTCTCCAATTTGAACAATGAAGTTCTGCTCATGGGCCATACCCTATGTAGAGCTCTATGCCAGCCCCTCTATTAATCGTATGTTGTTAAATAGACAATAGTCCCCCCGAACACCAGACGACCTAGTCGAATATCTTCCTCTTCTATTCCTCTTGCGAGTTCTCCAGCCAGTTCATCTGCTTCGTGCACAGTCTATCTGTTGTTTCGTGCTTTTCTTCGTTTGAATTCGTTCGTGGATAGTATCAATCTTCAATTGCGTCCAGGTTCAAAGCTTCGTTTCTCTCATCCGGTCTTTCGGAAAAGGCTTCCCTTCTGTTGATCGTTCTCAATCAAGAAATTAAGCTGCGTGGCTGTCTCAAGGCTTCGCTGGCCTAATAAAGTCTTTCGGAAAAGACTTCTCTTATCTAAATCGTTCTCAGTCAAGACAACAACATAACCATCTCTCACAATGGCTATCCTCTCTACTGAAAGCACCAATGCTTTCCAGGACATGTTAAAACAGAACTATGCAATGAGTTAGTATACATCCGCAGCCGAGATCAAGGAACTAACAGGAACCAGTGCAAGCTTCGTTTCAAGAATCCGTTCAATCTACTTATCGTGAGGCGTGCCAAGCCCAAGCCGACTCTGGCGACTTTACTTCTTTCCATCCTGAGCAGCAAGACTGGTCGTGGGACAATCTGCCGGACATCCTTTATCAGCTCAAGCCCACTGGCCCTAAGAGCAAGACCGAGCCGCCAGATATGCCCTACCCTATTAACGGAAAGCTCCTGCGCGACATTCCCGTCTTGCCTGACCACATTGCCTCCGATGTTGACGAGTTTCGCGTGGAAGCTTGGATGCGTCTCGATAGACGAATCCGTCTCAGCGATATCACCGACCGCATGAGTCCGGAGTTTCGTATTGCGCCTAACGCACTGCAGCAGCGCGGTGGACGGTTCAGACAGGCGTTCGGCATGTTGGCCTGGGATTCAGGAAACAAGCTGAGTCGCGAGCTTGAGTCCAGATTGATTCAGACCTTGATGGAGCACGGCATTGACCCTAACCTTAATACCACTAGGGGACTTACTCCCGGCTTGATCATTCCAGCCCTGGGTGAAGCTGGCGGACGAATCCCTCTCCCACCTACCTACACACTGGAGAAGCGCAAGAAGCGCAAGCGTTGTATGCGGGCTACTGGGCCCAAGAAGCCTAAGAAGATGCCCAAGGCACAAGAGCAGATGCTTGTCAATACAGCGAAAGAAGCTCTGCGAGTATTTCAGAATGTCGGACCAGCTCCAACTCAGAATGGAATCGACAGCGGAGTTCCTACCAACTCTCAGATCAAACAGCTTATGATGCCCGGTGAAAGTGTGTTCGCCGTTGAGATGCCTGCTCCCGACACAATTTACGTCCCGGTTACCGCTATCGTTTCTAATGTGGACGAGTCGAGTGTCAAGGAGGACTGGCCAATGCTTGATGCGGTCCAGGTTGAGCCACTGTACAAGCTTGTCCCCGCCGAACAGCACTTTGATCAGCCAACTGGGCCACTGCCCGTGTTCCGGGGTGAGGTCCCGGACATGGAACTCCCTGGGGCCGTGTGCCCGATGGACCTTGACATGACCTTGGGTGCGAAAAACCCATGGAGCGACGGTCACCAAGTCCTGGAGACGGTTGGCCATTGGACAAAGGTCGAGGTAAAGTCAACCAACGGCCTGAAGCCAGGAAAGTCTGGCAATCAAACACTCTCCAACCCATATGAAGAGATGCAGCTGCCGACTCCAACCACGGCGCCGTGTTGTGCAGACATCAAGGCAAGGCAGCCAACAGGCGGGCTGTTCCTGATGAAGCCGCCTCTGGCCCTGGACGCATTGCCAAACCCTTACCAGGTCGCTTTGTTCAACCATTGCCTCCGGGAGTTGAATGTCGGGGAACGTTATGTCTTCAATCTGCCATATTTTAGCCCGTGAACAAGCTTCACATTATCGGTCATGACATGGGCCGTTCGATTTGATTGTTTCTGCGGTCGTCTGATACTTTTGATTTGATTTGTTGTTCTGTATTTTTATTTCCTTTGCCTTTTCTTTCCTTTTTCTTTTCTTTCTTTTTACTTTTCTTTCTTTTTTCCTGTCTTTTCGTTCTCGTTTCTTCTGTTCTGCTTTCCAATATGGAGAATTCTGGTCTTGTTCAACAGCGAATGAGAGATGTCAAGATAAGGTTGGGCGCCAAGATGGCTGCCGCGGTTTGGTTTGGCTTTGATTTGAATCTTTAATTGTTCTTGCAGTATTTGTTGCGCGCAGCCGGAAAGGAGTTAAGATGAAGCGAATACCCTCGGTGTACTGTTAATTGGTGTTTATTAGGCAGTCAGGCAGAGATAATCAATGCTTCTTCATGCAAAACAAGCTTGCAATCGCATTAGCCTCACACTATGTTCAGATGATGCTGTCTGACAGCTTCGCATCACGGAGAATATGTGAGCCAGGAAGCTTCCTGCCAAGATTGATCTTCATCATAGAGATACTCTACAGCCATATTTGCATGGCATCACCCATATGATGCATCCAAAGGGTCTGAGGGATCGGCGGGTTCCGCATACACGGCGATATCTCTCCGACGTCAGGCTCGTGCGGAGTGAGTTGCACGGGCCTCGCCATTACTTGAGCCTTTTCATGCAGGAGAGGACCACAGATTACTTCCTATATCAGATTTTCTTCATTTCCTCTTTGATTCCACGTCATCTCCACTTTTATACTCCAATACTTCTCCTGCTGAGGGCCCAGATTAGTCATCCTCTTCTTGGTGGGGTTGATCACCGACCGCCTTGGCTGCCGGCAGAAACAACTAAAATCATTATCTCCGCCTTATTAGACGCGTTGTTCCTGTAGCCTCGTCGCCTCGTTGTTGCGCGCTTCTCTGCGCGTGCCTTTGTTTTGAATTTCTGCTTATCTGGAAGCTATTCTTTCGCTCGCTCATCTTTTTTTACCCTTCAATTCAGCGATCATTTGTGTGGCTGGTGAAATAACCAAGCACCGGAGATGCCATATCCGCCCGGCCGTTTGGAGACTTTCTCAGGCACCGGAAATGGTTTTTTAAGAGTGCTGGAGTATTCTGGAAATCCCACCACCGCTGATATTTAAAGTCAGCTTGTCTGGCCCTTTGAAATGGAGCCTGGCGGAGACCCTCTCGATTGGACGGTCGATGAGGTGGTGCAATTCCTATGTCGGAATCCGCAGACACCATGGTCTCGGTCATCATCGCGTGCTCCACGACCGGACCCTGTCACATTTGAAGCTACGCTTCGGGAGAATGAAATTACCGGCGAGGTGCTGCTGCATGATGTAGACAAAGAGACTCTACGGGAAGACCTCGGCGTGAGAGCCCTTGGCCATCGTAGCTCTATACTCATGGCAATCCGCTATCTCCAGCGAAAGAGTCTCAAGTTCCAGGAATCCAGAAATTTAGGCGGTTTGTCTGAAGATCACGTCGACTATGCGAGCCCGGTTGTCCCTCGACTAGACAATCCAGTGTACCGTTTGCCCCCGTCCCAAAATGTGACACCACAACGAGAGCCTTATCAGAGTGCTCGTCTTCAGACTCCTTCATCCAAAGTCCCGCCGCAGGAGCCTTCCGGAGATCCCCCCAAAGCTGATTTTGAACGTAGAGCTGATCCTGTGGAGCATCGCAATCCAACCGAGGCTGCAAGCCGTCCTGCTACTGTTCAGCGAACTGCGGAAAACATCCCGTCAACTCCAGAACAACCACCTGAAAGACGCATTCGGCCTGGGGAGGATTTGATTGTCGATGCTCATGGCAAGAAACGAAGAAAGCTCAATCTTAGTGCCTTGGCTCAGGATGAGTCTGATCATAATGTTCCAAAACAGACAAGCAGACATAAAGGTCCCAAAGAGTGGTACATGGGTCCGGAAGAGATGAATGTTTCCGGGCTTTTCTATGCTTCTGACTCAGACTACGACCCAGAGGAGAGTGATAGGACCTTCTCAATGGTCGGCTCCAGACTTCCAGCTGGCCAGCGCATATTCGTGAACCAGAGACTTCTCTATTTCCTCAAGCAGCGGCCTGTCAAGTTAAGCTCCACCCAGTCAGCTTTGGTTCCCTGTCGAGACTTGACCAAGCAGAAGAGTAAACCGTCGAAAAAGGAAGTAGTCATAGGCTCTAGCAGCCCAAGGGCGTGCACCTTGTATACGGTGGATATTGGCAGAGTCACAGTCACCAAAGACGAACTACAGAAGTGGCCGCAATTGATTCAGTCGGAGAAGGCCGATAACAG